TTTTACATACAAAAAATCCACAAAGAAGAAAATAAAAACTACCTGTAATCCCACCACCCAAACAAAACCACTTTTAACATTTACATGTAATTTTCTATGTGTATGTGTACATACAAAATCAGAATCCTACTGTCATACCTAATTTTCTCAAGGAGTGTAATAATAAATTTTGGAGGTAGATAGAGGAGAAATTTATTCCAATTTAAGTGATAAGAAAACTGGAACTCAAAGATACACATCTAATTAATGGCAGAACTAGGACTGGAACCCACAAATCTTGTCCTAGTCCCAGGTTCCTGCTGTTCCCATGAAGCCTCCTAATTAGGTGGTGTTCTTCTTGCAAGAAGAAATTGTACATCAATCCAGCATCAATGTGACATGGGTTTGTAATTAGACGTTCTTCTCAGGAAAGTGACAGATTTAAGCTGATTCTGTGTCTATATCACGGCTGTGCAGTACATAAGGGGCACTGTCTAACATTTCAAAGGGAAACAAGGATGGAGCACCTAGGATCTCAACCCTGTGATTGGCTAACCAATGGAGCTAGGCAGCCACCATAAAGAGTCAGAATTTCTTTCCAAGAGCCAAATGACATTTGAACAGTGGTGGCTTGGCTCAGAGCACGTTGCTATGGGAACCACGTTGCTATGGGAAGTATAGCAACCACGTTGCTATAGTTCAATCCCATCATAGACTAGTGAGTTGTACTCCAGCCCATGACCACTGACTGTATTCCAGAATAATGTACACATCAGGTGTTCAATAAGTGTGCATTGGGCTGAACTGAATGTTTATTATTATTCAGCAGGGACAGTCGGCAAAAGAGAATGTGACTGCAAATATAAATATCCCCACCACTATGCCCAATATAGAAAAAGTAATCGAATGTGAACTAGTTTTCTATTTTATTCTAATAGAGGACTAAATTGTAATCCTCCAAACACAAACACACACCAGATTGTTAGCTCTTTAGATAAAGAAACTGTATCTTATTTATCTGCATGTCCCCAGAATACCTAGCACAGAGACAGACACATTTGAAGTGTCAATGTTTTTTGAATTGAATTATATTTGCTGGCTGGCGTGGGAGTTAAGAAGATGTTGACTAGTAATTCACCATTCCTTTCCCTGAAAGCTCTGTAAATCAAGCTCTTAAAAAAAGCAGCAAGCTAAATTCCAAAACCCTCTCTTAGGAGAAATGCCCACGGCTGGTGGGGTCTGGACTATGTCCACTGAATGTGCAGATCTCTTCTGCACAAACATTGCTTACTCCCAGGGGAGCCCATGACTGGCTGACTGGCTGTGGAGACTCACCCGTTCCCTCTTTCCCAATGGCAGGGGGGTCAGGGGAAACGGGTGGGAGTCGAGTGATGAAGCACTGCTGAACTAAATGTTCTCCTCTTCCCAGGAGAAGGAAAATCTCACAATAGGAGGAGTGTTGGCACTTTTCTAGAGGAACAACAGTAAAGCACATGGGATGTAGCTGAAAATGATCTTTTCTGAAGACAAGTTTCTTTTTTAAAGGGCCACCCTCATATTCTTTCTTACCTTAGATTGGAATGGTGCTATTGGAATGGACTTGTCAGAGCTGGGCCAGAATCCTACAAACTGGAATCAAAGTTGACTGGGTGGGTGGAGAGGTAATATGGGATCTAGGGTGAGGAGCCATTAGGCCAAGATCCTCACTTTTTCTGAATTTATCCTAGAGCAATAACAAAAACAAATAGTATTTGCTAATAAGAACCTTTCCTGAAATGGTACTGAGCTAGGTTTGAAGGAGTTGGAATAGAAAATACTGATTTTTCTGGGAGGCAACCAAAACACAATTCACTAATCCCCTAAGCTCTTAACAAACTCTCTTGAAGATTTAATCACAATGTAAAATCCACAAGTTTTTATTGGCAGTGTTTGGTTATCAGCTGCACAGCTCTCTGAAGTGGCAACCAATACGATTCCCAGATCTGTCTCCATTACACATTCCAGGGGCCTACTGGCAAGGGCTGTCAGATTGGTCCAGCCAATTGGATCAATTGGATTGCCCTGGTCCAGCCTAGTAAATTCTTTCCAGGGGAGATTTAGGACACACTCTCCCAGCTGCCAAGTTCTCTGCTTATAAGGTGAAGAATTTACTAGTGCAAAGAAAGATAAAAAGAAAGCCTGCTACCTTTTTAAGTGCTTTTACATATAGTTTCTTTATTAGAGTTTGGTGTTTTCAGAAATACAGCTGCCCAGCTCATTTGAGCCTTTGTGCAAAATTAATGGGACTTATTTTAGCTTCCTATGAACTTCTGTGAGCTCTGCTGCCACCACGTATCAACCGAGGTCTCTTGTGCCACGCTTTCAAAGGAAGTCACCTGCAGCAACTCTTATTTGGGGAGAACATAGCCATGAGGACTTGCATCTTTAACCTACACACTGCCAGCAAAGGTACACAGAGAGTTGTTATGGAATCCAGGTTTGTCCAACTCTGGAAATCAAGCCTGTCTAGTCACCCAAAGACCAGCTTTTTGTAGCTGAGATTTTGTTCTCTCCGGTTCCTTAAGATGCCCGTTTCCATCTCCAGAACTTATTCTAAGGCAAATATTGGCCACAGACATCAAAGTGAGTACTGCAAGAAATAGTGTGGCATAGTGAGGACAAAATAGGATTTAGAGCCGAAAAACTCTTGAGAGTTCCAGCTCTTACTGCTTGTCTGACCTTGGATAAGTCACTTAATAACTTCATAGGACCTTAGCTTCTCTTCAGCAAAATAAGTATAAATGGTCATACTTATCTCACCAGACTCTCTTCAGAGCAATTATGACAAAGTACAATTATCTGGTTTATATGTCCATTTATTTCCCATTTCTCAAGGTGTGTCACTAGATTATAGGCTCCAAGAGCTCAGGGTCCTTGTCTTTTTGGGTCCTCACAGTGGCCCATCGCCAGGAATAGCCATCAGCACATAGCACATGATGAAAAGGGGTGAATGGGATTGGAATGAGTGAGGGAAGGAATTAAGGAAAGAAGGAAAAAAGGAAAGAAGGGAGGACAGAGGGAAGGGAGGACAAAGTGTCTGGAGCATTATTGAGATACTGTATATGAAAGTGGTCTGTAAATTATTAAGTATTACCCACATTATCAAAACAATTATAACTAACATTTGATGCATTAATTATACCGGGGTGACCTTTTAAAAATGTAAGTTAGATCAGGTCACTTCCCTGCATAAAACCCTCTACTGGCTTTTTATACTACATACAATAAAAGTTAAACTCTTTTAGCTTAAGAAGCGCTATGTGATCTGACCCGTGACGGCCTTGTATCCAGCCCCTCTCCCCTTTCCTGGCCAGGTCCCCATCACTCCGGTGTTCTTGTGTTTTCTCAAACATGCCAGGTCTATTCCTGCTTTGGAGGCTTTGTGCTAGCCCCTTCCCCATGTGAAAGCTCTTCTGCAAAATCCACATGGCTGGCTCCTTCTTGTCATTGCACTCTTGGCTTAAATGTCACCTTCTCAGAAGACTTCCTTGTATGTGAGCTCTAAAGGAGCCCTCACTGACTCCCTGTTACAGCAACCCGTTATTTATTTATTCATTTATCTAGTATTAGTCTCCTCCCTACTGCCTAATGGTCAATGACTATTTTTGTGTCACATTATATTTATTTAATGCTTACATTTCATAAATACTTTTCTAATTATCATTTTGTTTTATCTCCATAAGTTTATAAGCTCAAAACAAACAATCAACCAAATAAAAACCCCTATGGTTCCAAACTGAAAACTCCCTGTCCACCATATGCCAGCCCCCCACACACTTGAAAGAGGTCTCCTGGCCCTGTGAATAAAAGCAAGTGTGCCAGTCAGTTTTAATATTTGTGATTTAATTAGAGTCATGTATACTTAATCAGTGATGCAATAATTACTTAGTACTCTAAGCTAGAGGGATTCTTTTGAGACATAGAAATGGTGCTGTTGAGCGCCAGGCTATTCTGTTCTGGGCTTGGAGGCCTCTTGGCTCAAGGCTGGGTGACAGGATAGGGGGTGGAAACAGGCAGAGGCAGCAACACTCAGTGGTTCCATTTGGGCTTGTCTACTGTGGACCCTAGGGCAGCAGTAATTCCACAGGAAGAGTGCCGGACCAGGGCACTGGGACAGTTTTGAGGGTTGCCCTACACGCCTCTTTTCCCCACCCCGGGCTATCAGTCCCTCTGTTACATGAGGTGGAACTGGATCATCTTGAAGGGAATCCCAGCTCTGACATTCTATGAGTTAATGAGAGGAGTCCGATCTTTTATCATGACCGAGAAGTCTGTGAAAAGGATAACCCATGCAATATTTCTGATAAGTACAGCTTTTCTAGGCTAAGTGGGCTTTCTTTGATTGGTTAATAAAGTCACTGGACAAACCCAGATCTCTGCTTTTGCCATTCTTCTTTAGCCTTTGCCTTCCTTTGCTTGCTGAGAGAAGTTGGTGCTCTGGGCAAATCCCCTTGTTGTCACACAGGGATCAACATGTAACTATAAGCATACTTCAGCCACTCCACAAGAGATGGGTTCCTACTATATTTGATCTTGGCCAACATTCTCCCATCTGCTTTCAACATGTTCTATCTGATGTCAACTAATATCTCCTATTAGCATTAAAAGAAAACAATCTGGAAAAATTCACTCTCAAGCAGAGTTCAAACAGGCCACAAATAGATGTGGAATCTCAAATGCACAAGGTTTGTTAAAATAATAGTAGTAAATAAATATATAAATGTATATATATGTATACGCATACATGCATATGTGTATATGTAGGGGTGTGTGTGTGTGTGTGTGTGTGTGTGTGTGTATGTGTAGTGAAGCCAAAAAACTGTGAAATGGGTCAAGAAAACAAAGAAAAGAATGCTTCTGTCCAATTTATGAAATTAACTGGTAATAGAAGAACGAGAAAAATTCTCCCAGTGTAGAACAAGGCACAATCAAAAGAACTGACTGACACGGAAAAGGAGTTGGGACTCTTTTCTTACACTTACTGGTAATGGGTTGAAATTCTGGTCCACGAGGTGATTATATCCATGATCAAAAAATGAGTGCCGTATCACAACATCAATGCCTTGATTGGCCAGCATTCCTAGAGTGTTCAACCATCTAAAAAGCAGGGGGAAAAGCTACATCAATACATTTTTTAAATGGCATAGAACAAGCTCTATAGAGATTGGCTAAGGCATGCACATACACACCAACCCTCCATCACCAAATTTACCTACTACTTTAAAGGAGATTATTTTAAGCATTGAATACACAGCTGGAAGAGATTTTAGAGATGATCAAATCCAACTTCTTCATTTTACAGGAAAAGAAACAGAGGTCCAGGGGAGTCAAGTGAGCTGCCCTTGGTCATAAAATAGCTTGTTGCTGATGACTTATCTCTTATTCCTGTTATACTAACAAATAAAATGAACATTCTAGCCACTTGTAAGCCCAATTATCATCCTTGGCCACAGGACACACAATCATAGGAGCACACACACTATACTTTCCACCATTCAAACTCCCCTGCTTGCACCTATCACTGTACATGTACTTTCCATGTGACTCTAAGCCATATACTCCTTTGACCTATGCAAGAGAGGTCAGTCATTTGCATCCCTCATATATCACTGTCAGCAGTCGATGCAATAATAATTTTCCTTGGCACTATAACTAAATACACCGGGATTCAAGTATGCTACCATCACACATGTCACAATGGAGGACCTGCATTGCTCACACACTTATCACATACTCCACTACGCCCAACACCCAATTTCCGGGGCATGCTATCCTTCAAAAATTACTGCCCTCTTGGTTCTTCCAACACCCACTGCTAACTCTGTCTTCATTATTTACACATTCAATTCATTCATTCATTCATGAATTCATTTACTTTTCTCTCTCTCTTTGTATTCCTACTTCTTAAATTTAGGGAAACTTCTAACTGTAGTAATATATACATAAGAAATGTGATTGAGAGCTTCTGTTTTCTCAGTATAAAAGATAAGGCATTTCACAGTCTTTCCTGAGCATGTGTCTGGCTCCGTCTGTCACCTCTTCTCCTCTCTTCTCTCACCCCAAACTCCAATCCTCAGGCTCTCAGGCACATAAAACTACTTTTGGCTGCCCCAATACACCATGCTTTCACATACTTACCTGAATCTTGACACATGTTTTAACTGCTACTTAGAATTCCCTTCCTCTCTTTCTCTAACCCACCTCATCTGGCAAATTTCTTCCCACCTGTTAAACTCCAAGTCAAGTGTCATCTCCTTTTAAACTCTGCTGCCTCAGCCAACAGTGGTACCTTCCTCCTCCGTGCTTCCCCAGAACTCGTGTATATGTCCTCTGCCAGCCCACTGAATGAGAATCACTTACTTAATTCTCCAAGGTCTCCTAGTTGGTTATGAGCTCATCAAGAACAGACACAATGTTTTAGCTTTGTACCCAAAACACCCATCACAGTTCACTCAGTACTCTTTGATACGTTGAAACTGATCTGGATAAAATCAGATTCTAGGAACTTTGAGAATTACCATTCAGCATACTATGGACAAATTATGCATAGTTATGATTTGCCAAATCTGAAACCATATGGAGCTCCAAGCCAGTGACTTGTAGAATTAAGTTTTTTCCTTACTGGAATAAAGAGCATTGCTAATTTTTATACTATGAATGAATATGATTAATATTTTCAAATCTTTTTCACACTGGCAATTATATTTTATTCTCATAAAAACTAAGAAATATTTACTGATAATTAGAGTTACAAAAACAAGACAAACCAAAGCAAAACACAAAAATGAAAGTTTTAAATCAAAAAGAAAATCTGACAATAATAGAGCCTTGTGTGTTGTTGTTGTTCATATTGGGACGTTGTGACCCAGGGAATTGAAATTACTTTTGGAATATCACCTGGCTAAGCTTCTTATGTTTATTATTTTTGTTAATTTAGCAACCCTGTGAAATCAGGATAACAGGGTTAGCTTTTCCTTTAGCCACTGAGACACAGGATAAAATGTCCTGGAGAAGAACCATAGCATGAATTCTGGGCTGATGCCTCCTAAATCAGTGCTCTTCCCACTGAAATAGCACAAATACAACAGGGTCTACGTCTAACAAGCATTTAGCTATAAAAACAAGTATGTCTTATTCACTCTTCTATCCCTATGCTTGTTGAACAAATGAAGAAAAAAAATGATGACTAAGCACATAATCACATAAATGTGAGTCCCTACATCTAGCAGTATCTGGATATCAACACAAGCCCGTATTTTGGTACTTTTATATGTGAAAAGATCCCATTTGTTCATTCATTCATTATTCATTCAACAATTTTAATTAATCAGCTGTAAATGCCGGGCCTTGTTCTCAGCATTGAGGATAGATACAAAAATACTTGTGAGACCATGTAAGTCATTTGTAAAACACTGAGTATGTAAATACCTGTTTATACACATTTATATGAACAGTATCAAATTCCTACTTTTGACCTCTACAGAGCCTAGCACAGTGACCTGCAAAGAATATATACTCAACAAATAAATGTTAATTAGTAAATCTCAGGGGTTTTTTTGCTAGTATATGGGGAGTTTTTGAAGGACCTCTAAAGTGAGAGGAAAGAATATGCATCCTCCTCTCCAAACCCATATCCTATACGCACAACCAGGGTCTGGAGCATTCAAAAATGACTATGGTCAGAACCTCTGCTTCCCTATGGCTTTTCAGAGTGGAATGGTTAGTATTGAAGTTATCTTCATCTTCCTCCTATAATAATAAGCCCTCTGAGAGGGGGAAATAAATGGTGTTCCAAGTCTCTCTTTTATGTTCAAGTAGAGAAAAGTGGCAAGATGACTGGTATATCCCACCAAAGATGCTACTGCAGCCATTACTTTCCATTCCACAAAAATTTATTGAATGTCTACTACATGGCAACACACTACTAGGTACTGGAGACACAATAGTATGCCAAGGGTGGATCTGTAGTGAATCAAAGAATCTCAAAGCCCTGATTAGGAAAACTACCCTTGAATACCTGGCAGCAGAGAATTCTGATTTGTGTATGTATGTGTCCTAGTAAGGTCATAGTTATGCCATTTGTTGAAAAAAAAGCTGATAAATGCCTTCTTTCCAATTTCTTGCTAATCTTATGGAGCTTCCTAGGATGCTTTACTCTTTTTTTCCAGGAAGCAATTTATGCCCCTTGGACAAATGGACTCAAAGGGCACATTGCTGGGTACTGCCAGTGGAGTTGAGAGCAAATGGGTGATAGGTAAGAGAGAAGACCAGGAGCAGAATGAGCTAGTTTTCATTTGATCTGTGTCAACCAAGAATTGGATATCTGAACTACAACCAAAATCTAAATAACTATGTTAATCTGTGTTCCCAAAGTGACTGCAGAGATCTATGGACATTTGGCTGATGCTCATGAAAAGGCAGGTCTCTCTCCAGCTCCCTCCATGAAAGTCTGTGGTATTTCTCAATTCACATCATTCCTTAAAGGGAAGAATGCTCATGAAAACACTCAGTACAACTGGGCTGCTTGCTGGGCCCTGCAGCAGAGTCCTTCTGTGATGGCTGAGAAAAAGCCATTCCTCTGCTGATTCCAAGGGGCCCCGGCAGTACTGATTGCCGCTGGTTTCTCATCCTTGCTCCCAGGGCTCACAGTGAGGAGTCTATTTTTGAAAAAAGGTTCTCAGCAACACTGTATCAAACGCTGATTCACTCCATTTCATTCATTAGACCCATGCTCATTGAACAATTGCTCTATGCCACTGAATGTTAGGAGGACACAGGGATGGAAGACCTAAGGTATCATCATATATTACATTGACTCGTTATCTTCATCTGCATTTGCCAGGATTCCATCTGCAAACACAATCTACTTGACCGGCCTGATTTGTTCTTCACGAATATATTGAAAAAGCTGCCTTAATGAAGGGAAACTACAACTGTATAATTAGGAACAGCTGTTAAAATGAAACACGTAGCTGAGGGCAGAGCTGTAGTTCTTAGGAGGACGTTGCTCAGCCAAAAAGCCAGGGCCACAGGACTAGACTGGACCAGGAACAAGTCACTTGGTTAGTCCAGGGTCCTGAGGGGTTTGTTCCTGCCACCTGACACTGGCAGGCCACTCAGAGGCCCTTATGTTTCTGGCTTAAGTAGTTCTCCAGAAGACTTCAGTAGCCTCAATCCATTTACCCATGTCTTGCCACTTCAAACCCTTGTGTATACTATTCCCAAAGCCAATGTTCTAAAACACAGGTCAGATAGTGTCTCTCTTCTCCTTCAAAATCTTCAATGGCTTGCTACTGAGGCTAGAACAAGGCCTCATTTTTTCTGCCTGGTTTTCAAGGCCTTCCATGATTTGGTGGTAAACTAGTCTCAGCCCTCACTACATCCCTGCAGATGCCAAGGCTTTCATCACACCAATCATTTCTCCCACCCTGTGCCTTTGCCCTTAATGTTCCTTCAGCCTAGAACGCTCCCCTCTACCATCACCACCATCCTCTCCCTAGAGAAATTAGAGGAATCTTTCTATGTCCTACTCAAATGCTACTTCCTCCATGAAGCCCTTCCTGATTCTCTCAGTCAGAGAAATTCTTGATTCCTTTGCATGTCTACCACTTTCCTTTTGTGGACAGACCATGTGAAGCAGAAAGAGACATGGTCTAATGTAGCGGCAAAGAGGCTGGACCCAGGAGCAGATTGCCTGGGCTTGAGTCTGAGCTCTCACATCTATCTCACTGGGTGGTTATAAAATAATGATATCTACCTCACTGGTTGTTAAATTATTAAACATATATGAAGCACTTCAGAAAGTACTTGGCACACAGTAAGCACTATATAGTTAAAATTATTATTATTAAGGCACTTATCTCCTACAGCTTTACTTATGTCCTTTCTCCATTCCTTTAATCACGAGTCTCTGGAGGGCTAAAACCTTGTCTTCCTCTTACCTATCTCCCAGGACTCTGGTGAAAATTAGATGAGAAAATGTATGTTGTCTGTACCGCACTTTGTACTGTAGACATTAAATAAAGGTCTTACCACTATTATGATTACTACTTCTACTACTACTACTGCTGTTACTACCATCTTTGCTCTGATGACTGTGCCTGACATCTTAGTATCTAGAGCAGTCGCTAATCACTGTTGGTGGTTAAACACATTCACAAGGAATGGACAAAGAACTTTCAATGGGAAATGAACCATCCTCCCTTCAATGGGCAGAATAAGGAGCAGTGCCACAGTCTGCGATCCTTCCTCCCTCAAATCCCTGAGAGTGAAATTACAAGTCTTACTCACAAGAATCCTGCGGCATAGGAATCTGACAGATTGTTTGTGCCTCCAGCTGAGGTGGTCACCACGCCTTCAAGCCAAATCTTCTTTCCTGGGGTGTATGTATTAACTACCTGTCACACAACAAAAGCAGAAGGGGATAATGAGATTTTTAGAAGTTGTTCCCAAATGAGAAGGAACACACATTTCCTTAAGGAAGTTCCCAATCTCCTGCTCCCAGGTGGTCATGATCTGTGCTTTTTTCATGATGATTCTCCCTATACAGTGAGCTGGCACACTCATACACAAAAGCATTAGCATTGATGTAGCTCATTTGGGAAGTAATAACAAGGAGCAAGAATGAGGAATTGGGGGACTGAATTAGGTAAGAAGGGAAAACCAGTACAAGGATGTATTTTCAAGGCAACCACTGCTGGCAACTTGCACTCAATCCCACAGGGATCTTCGTAAGAGCCTTATGAACTGTGTCTCAGAACTGTCCCCCAAGGGGATACAAAGGGAAGCATTTATCCCTTGGCTCCTATCCTCCAAAGGTCAAGAGTAGTATCCTGACTGCTAACCTCCTCCCATTACCCGATTTCATTGTGCAGGCATGAGTGTTGAGCAGGTTCCCTGAGCTCCACATCTCTGCCTTAGAGAAGTCCCAGAGAAGGAAATGAGAGGCGAGCTCCTACTGCCTCATACTAGAACCAATCTGGTTGCAGCCTGTGTACCTGACTAGTTCTGGTGTCTGTAGAGATGGTTAGCATAGGAGGTAGGACTGAGAGGATCCTGGTTATGCAAAAGAGGGGTTGGATAAAGACAATGGTGTATTTAGGTCCTATGGCCCACCAATTGCTCTCCCAGACATACAGACCAAGGGAATTCTTCCTCAGGCCTCTAAGGAGACAAGTATGAGGATGTCACTATGTCACTGTTTGAGATAGGTTTCCATTGATAGAGGATTGGACAAGTAAAATGTGGTGGATACATATCATAAAACATTATGCAGTAGTTAGAGCAATAGATTCAATGTAAATCTAGCAACATGAATGGGCTTTAAAGACTTAGTGGTGAGTTTAAGCAAAAATAGCAACAGAATGAGATTTATGTCACAATATTATGTATGTAATTACTTATTCACACTCAATAACACTAAATAGTATATAAAGATACATGTCTCTTAAGGATACATATTAAACACATAAGGAAGGCATGTATAAGAGGGAGGTGAATGTGCATGGGGATTAGAGATCTAGGTGAAAATTTAAACAAAAGCAGGGCTTTGCATGAACTGATGAAAATAGTTTGCTGTAGTTGAGGAGTATGATTTTAATTTAATTCTCTGAACCTCAGGTCCAAAAAAAGAAAAAAAAAATACATATGTAGGATGCAGCATAAATGCCAGAACTCTCCCTTTCCCAAACCCATAGGCAACAAACAATCATAGTTCTCTTTTATCTCTCCCTAGGTATGGCTCCCTGCCCTCTCTCCCCATCTACTAGAGAATTTGTATTATTTGAGACCTTTTTTTGTTGAGGAAGATTCTCCCTGAGCTAACATCTGTTGCCAATCTTTCTCTACTTTGTACGTGGGATGCCTCCACAGCATGGCTGATGAGTGGAGTATGTCAGTGCCTAGGATCAGAACCCGCATACCCAGCCACCGAAGCCGAGCGTGCCGAACTATAACCACTCGGCCACGGCGCCAGCCCCTATTTGAGACCTATTTTAAAATCAGAGTTGACAAAGTGCTTGAGCCTTTCAGGAATAAAGTTATAAAAATATTTCTCAAATTTGAGATGGAAGTAAGGATTGTGATCAAAAATGGAAGAAAGACCCTGAGAATTAATAGTGGAGGTCAAATGGGAATGTTAAAGATTAAATAAGAATTCCCCCCAGCACCCAGGAAGAGAAGAATCATTGAGGATACCAAAAGATAGTCCTCTCCCACTTCTCAACACTGCCCAGAGTGCCCAACCCAAGGGGAGCTGGAAATAGTAGAGATAAGAAAGCAAGAAACACACCTTAAATGATCAAAAGATAGAGCTGTATAGTGAAATTAAAGGACTAGACTGATGATTCCCCTTAAAATATAGTGCTAGAAAAATATCTGTGCTCTTGATACTATTTGTGCTTCCTTTATGACTAACTAGAGCTGAGTAACATATTTGTGTTTTTCGTTTTTGCCTTTGGCTTCCAGGATATTCAGAATTTAATTTTTGCTCAAAGATAGATATTGAAACGAGGCAGTTAGAGAAAGGGGGTTTGGTTAAACAAAACAAAACAAAACAAAAAGGTAAATATCACAAGGTGATGAACCTTGAAATCATTAAGCTAAGTGAAAGAAGCCAGACACAAAAAGCCACATATTGTATGATTCTATTTATATGAAATGTCCAGAACAGGCAAGTCCATAGAGACAGAAAGTAGATTAGTGGTTTCCTAGGGTTGGAGAAGGGGAGGGATACGGGGAAGGGGGAGGATGCAGATTGATTACAAATAGGTACGGGGTTTCTCTGGGCAGTGATGAACATGTTCTAAAATTAAACACTGGTGATGGTTTCACAATTCCATGAATATCCTAAAAACTATTGAATTGCACACTTTTAAAGGGTGAATTTAATGGCATGTGAATTTTACTTCAATAAAGCTCTTTGTGTGTGTGTGTGTGTACATCATTAGCAAAAGGAGAAGTAGAATCTAAGAGGCAGATAACTAATGTGGAAAGAGGAACATGCCCTGGAAATTTTGGGTTCTACCACACACTAGCTGTGAGGCTTTTGGCTCGTCATCATCTTGGACTTTAATTTCTTCATCCACATGTACAGCCATGAATTTGGAATAGATAAAATCTAAGTCCCTTCTAAGTACAAAATGTTAAAATGTATTAATATTTTATAATACTAATGTAGGTCCCCTTGGCCCCATCCCTCATGGGTCAAGAGAATCTTTGATTATGTAAGTTAAAATTACATAAATGACAAATATGGGAGACAGAAAAAAAAGTCAAATACAGTTTAGCACTGGTCATCTCAGAAACAAGGATCCAGAGGTAAATTGTGAGAGTGGTAGAAAAACCCACAGAGGTTGATGAAATTACCTAAGGAGAATATATAAAAATGAGACTAGAAAAGGGCTAAGGGTTTCCATGCCCAAACATTAAGGCATTATCAAATGCATTCATTCATTCACTCCACAAACATTTACTGAGCACCTGCTACATGCCGAGCAGATTCTAGGGGCAGGAATATAGCAATGAATGAAACAGAACAAGGCTCTGCTCTCATTGGCTTACATTTTAGTCAAGGGGAGGAGACTAATAATAAACAACTAAACAAATAAAAGAAATTTAGAAATAATAAGAGCTAGGAAAGAAATGAAACAGAGGAATCTGACAGAAAGTGACTTGGCAGGAGGGGAAGGTAGATACTTTAGATTGTGGTCAGGTCACCCCTCTAAAAGGTGGTGTCTGAGCTGAGACCTGAGTGAAGTGGGAACTAGCCCCTTAATGGATCTGCAGGAGCAGCACAGAAAAAGGACCTGAGATGGAAACAGGACTGTTGTTTGTAGAACCAAGAGAAGACCATGTGGAGTGTAGTGAGTAAGGGAACAAAAGATTTAAAGTTCAGAGAAGCGAGGAAGGGTGTTTCTTATTCTGAGTGTGATGGAAAGCTACTGGGGAGATTTAAACAAGAGAGTGATATGATCTGACTTATGTAAAGATCACTGTAACTGCTATGAGATCAGATAAATATATATATATATATAATGAAACTGTAAAGTGATAGACACATTAAAGTTCTGTTACTTCTATGACCTCTCTGAGCTTCAATTTCCTCATCCATGAGATGGAATAATACTTTACAGGGTTGTGCTAAGGATCCCGACTACTAGGCAAAGTATAAATAACATTAGGCCAATCACAGGAAGATCCTGAGAGCCAGTGGGAAGTGGCATAGACGCAGCAGATGAACATTTATGTGGATCCCTCTAAGGTGATGCATGAATTCAGAGGAACTAATGCCAAATATACTTACAGTTTGGTGGTGGGATTCTGAACTATCATTTATGATACAACAAAGAAGCCCAGGAGTCTATGGACTACTTCCTAGAAACCCTGAACTATCAGCTCTTTGAGGGTAGAGATCTTGTATTATTTGCTTTTGTGTTTACTTCCTAGCAGAGAGCCTGGCACAGGGTAAGTGCTTAACCAGAGGTTTGGTGCTCTAGTCACACAAAGAAGTCAAAATGATTCCAAACCTGCCCACACACAAGCTCACAGGAAACTGCCACTCTTCAAACAAGTTATACGACCTAAGAAAGGGCAACTAAACTGGTCAAAGAATTGGAAGCAATACCCTGATTGCAAAACAGTCTTAGAAATCAGGAAAAATAAAGGCATAACCATGAAAACATACAACAGCATGAAAGATCTAGATAAGACCAACACACGTCTATTTGCTAAAGCTCAGGATATCAGGCTTGGGGTTTGCCCCTGGAATTTTGAAAGACAGAAATTTCAGAGAAGGAAAGGGAACTACTGCTTTGTTCACCAGGTAATTTATATATGAAATTCAATAACCCCAGAAGTGGTAAAGGAAAATCACCATCCAATGTGATCTGTATACCACAAGGATCTTATGAAGTATCAAGCTCATTATGATGTTCTGATACTGAAGATAAAAAGACAATCATGTGTTTCTACCACTTATCCTATAAGGACATTTGTCATAAGTACTTAGTTAGAAGGTGGCATGCCCAGCTTGGAGCAGCAATTTGTATGAGACGGTTATATTTCAAAAGGAAGTCAAAGTAGCTCCTTTAATGAGGACTTGATTCCAGAAAATGGTTGGAGTTATAAAATACTGTGTACACAGGACTCTGCAAAGACACAGACACTGTGTAAATAAAAGCTCATGTGAATTCTCTTCCGACTTGCAGAGAGATTTGGAAGAAAACAATCTGAAAATTGTATTATTGGTGAGGTAGCATTAAGTAGTGGTTAGGGGCCTGGACTCTGCACCCAGATTGCCTGTGTTGGAATCCTAATTCTATCGTTTACTCACTGTGTGACCTCCCTGTGCCTTAATTTTCTCGGCTGTAAAATTATAATATCTATCTCAGAGCATTTG